AGCACAGCACAGCACAGCACAGCACAGCACAGCACAGCACAGCACAGCACAGCACAGCACAGCACAGCACAGCACAGCACAGCAAGCGATTTTTCATTTCATTTAGGAAATAACTAAAAATCACTAAATAGTGTTATTTTATGTTAATTATATTGTTTTCTTTTGTTTAATTAGTGCAATTTACTGCTAAATAGTGATAACTATTGCGCACATTTAGTATTTGTACTCTACTATATATTATTAACTAAGTATTTGATTGTCACAGGTTGATGGATTGAATACTTTATCAGAAAACATAGCTGATAATGGGGGAATAAAACAAGCATACAAGGTAAACATATACGTATTGAGATTACTCAGACTGGAATTTAGGGGTCTTTTATATGTCCAAYTTTACACTTGCTATTTCTAGCATTCTTCAAAGTTCTACTTTTGGACCACTACTTTTCCTTGTCTTTATTAGTGACAGGCACGCAATCATACAAAGTATAAAAATCTACCTTGTTCGACCAAATCTTAGGGCTGTTCTTTAAGATTCTGCTTTTGCACTTGGTGCTTCTGGCGTGCCTCAGAGGTTTATCTTGGGACCACCACTAAGAATAAATACCCTGGATGCATCGTTAAGAGTACCTATAAATATTTTTTCTCGATTTCTTGGGCAGATAGCCTTGCTTTTATTAAATCAAACGTTATTGCTTCCTCCACAAAATCAACTTTTAAATTCCAATTCTATCTTGAAACGAGGGTCAAAGCCAGGTCAAAGTTTTTGTTAGCTATTATGTCCATCCTCGTTAAAAAAAAGAACAATTTTAACTTGGCTTTACAATCCAATTTGTTTTTGTTTCCTTTTTCCTGCGACTTTGCGTACAACTCTTCTGCTTCAGTGACTCCTGCATTTAATGCAAGTGATTTATCAATTAAAATTCTTAATCCAGGCTTACAGAAACTGGGTACGCGAGCATGGAGAAGAGCCAAGACTTCCTGGAATGATGCTGTCAAATGATCAAGTGTTATTTCTTGGTTTTGCTAGGGTGAGTTTTAGGTACAATGTACGTATAGAGGCGGTTTTGGCTATTAGTCAAATTATTCTTGAAGGATGAACAAAATTCGTCGTGCCTTGATCTTATTAAAATGACCCCATGGCCATTTTGCAAAAAATAATAACGACGTTTTGGGAATTAAAAATAAATAAATAAATAAATAAAAATGGATAGATGAAAAAATATACTACTTATATTACATATATGCAACGTTTTTCATGGCATACCATTCAATAAGCCTCAAGTCAGTAGTCTCTTTTACAGTTTCCTACGCCATCTTGAAAAGGTAGCCGTACCTTTGCATCGAAGTGAGGCATACGGTTAGTAACTTGCAATGGTAGAGAACTTTTTAACAACTTGAACGATTATTCACATGTCTCTATCATTGCAAGCTCACAGTTAATCTCGCTTCGATGCAAAGGCACGGCTTTTAAGACGGCGCAGGGAACTGTGAAGGGGACTATTGTATCTTCCACTATTCTGTCTTAATACCGTTATACGATTTTTTTTAGAACTGGTGTCAACGACAAGATGAAACAACCGCAAGGCTGACATTGAGGTTTGACTCACACGCTCCAGGCGCATGGAGGTAAGAAACTAAGTTAACTACGTGTTGCGATTGTATAGATTATTGGAAGACAATGGAAAGCCATTTGAATGTTAAAGTCATAGTATACCATTAAATTAGAGAGTCAGAGAAGGACCGGATGGATAGAGAAAGGAAGAGAGATTTTATTTTATTT